TTTAAAATAATTAAAATAATTATTGGTTAATTTCTTTATCTAATGATACTACATAAATATATTTATTAATTTATGAAACTTTTTTCATTCTATACCTTCTTCTCATGGGTACTAAACTAATGAACCGACAAAATAAAATATTTCGATAAAAGTTTTGTCAAAACAATCGAATACTTAAATTGAAACATAAAAAAAAAATTCCTTACGCCCGATAAAAATGAAAAGAAATTTGAAATAAAAATAAAGTTATTAAAACCCTTTTTCCCTCCCTCTCTTGTTATCTAAAGATGTTATCGAATGTTTTCGAAACTAAAAATAATGGACTTACAATGTTTGGTTCCTCTACGCTTAAGTGATGACTAAGAAGATCATCATAATTGTGCTTTTCTAACAATTTTTTAAAGGGTTTGACCTTATCGCAAAAATCTTTTCTGGAAATTCGCTTCAGATCAATTAAATTAATCATTGGTTTAGTGGTAACCGATAAATCCCTAAAGTGTTCTCTTAACCATAATGAGGTATCATAAGAAGAATCATGGGAAGAGATTGTGAAAGGAATTGAAGGAGTCTGAGCCAGTCCCCACCTAAGAATATAATCCCATTTTTGAATTTCATATAATTTGAGCTTCTTGTTTTCAAGAAGGTATATCAAAACATCTTTATGAATGTTGACGAAATCAAGAGCTTTAAAAACAACATCAGGGGTAATCTGACAGGTTTTATCGCAATGTTCATGCAAACTTTTGAATGACTGATGTTTAGAACTAACTTTGTGAACCAGACTAAATTGATTATTTAGTTGACTCTTTCTTTTTTCAATTAAATAACGTTGAAGCACATTAACGAGGTTTGTAAGATGAATTAAATCAGCGATAATCAGCATGTTTAAGATAAAATTTATATCTCTTGATTCCAAGTTAAACGTTCCAACATACAAATAACTAATAAATTAAGGATGATAATAAGTAACTTTAGTAAACACACAATATATAAACTTTAATAAAGTCGAATGGCTTACCGTAAAATGTATCCAAACGCTTGAGAGTCAAAATTTTCATATTCTAGAACAATTGTGCTTCTATGATATTGTTCTTGAATTTCCTTTTCAAAGAACCTTGAACGAACTGAAAGAATAAGTTTATGTGCTCTATATTCTCTGCACTTATCTGCTTTGCCAACTTTGATGGTAACATCTGAATATTTTTCATTTTCAAAGACCGTAAGGTAGTCATCCGATAAGTTTGTAAGGAAATTATATGACATTATAAGGAAATTTTTTTTTTTTTTTTACAAAGAAAATTTTTGAAGACGAAAATTTAAAAATTTCATCCCTTTTTAAAGTTTAAAAGTCTTTATCGGGTAACAATCACAATAATTAGTGAAATACGCTTTATTATAAAAAAAATTGGGCGTTAAACTGATGTTGATCATTACCATATTATTGATCTACCGTTCCATTCATATGTTCATTGTTTTGCCTCTCTTTTCTCATAAACTTTTTTACACCGAAAGTAATGCTTTTGGAAAGTTTGTGGTGAACATAAACTATATTGAAGATTGAGTTAGATTGAGTTAAAATGTGTCAACGACGAGCGTCCCTCATTACAAGCCATAACTTTTCAATCCCTACAAAACAACAAACTTGGATGAACCAACTCAGTCGATTATACTATCTTTATACTTATCTAATCGTTTCACGAGTTATTAAAAATAAAAACAAGAAATTTCCTTTTTTGATTTGTGAAACCAAAAACTCGTGATTTCAGTTCAATCAGTTATTATATCGCGAAAGTATAATTTTGAAATTTATCAGGACAAAATATTTGTATGGATTCTGCAGCATTATTGTCTCGGTCGTTACTGAAAAGCACGATAAATATCTTGAATCATTCTAACATCCATCAAATAAATCAGTAAAGGTCGAGCTGACTACACTTTTCTTGATGCAGTATTATAACTTTTTAGTGGGTAAAGGTAGGCAATATTAATATGTTTTCATCTCTCAAAAGAATTTGTATTCAAAACATTTTTTTATAAAAAAAGATTTGATCTACAACCATACTAACCAGTATATTCTGGAAAAACATCAAACCATTGTAGTGCAAAATTATTTAGGTTCTTAAAATATGATCAAAATAACTTAAGTATAATGAAAAGTATTTTTTGCTTTGCATTTTGTGCCAATGGGAATATTGTTGTAATTATCATTATTTAAATATTTTTCTTCCTGATTACGAATCTTTAAACCTTTTTTTTTTTTAAGGATAGAAAGCTTTTTGATGTTTTGAGTTTCCGATATTCCAGAAAACGTCAAACTTGAATCCACCAATTTACCCAGTGGATTTTCTCTCTCCGGATTCTTATGGTAAGTCCTTTTTTTTTTATTACATTTCTTTTTTTCTTCAAAGGGAATTTTTAGATTTATTTACATATAAAATTAATTATTTATCCATCTAAAGAATTTTTTTTTTAAAAAAAAAATAAAAATAAAAATTCTACAATAAAAATTAAAAAAATTTTTAGGTTTTTTCTTAAATTTGAACCTTTGACACGAAAAGTCTTTTGTTTCGTTTGTTAGTAGCGTTAGCGTAATCAGAAAATTTTCGGAATCGTCCGTTTCTGTGTTTAAAAAAATAATGAGTTGGGTGAGTAACGTGGTTAATTACTCCCAAAGGAAGATCGGCCAGAACCAATCGACCACTCCAAAATTGATTTTTTAGAAAATTACACAGTGAGCGAGGGGTTAAGAGGTTATTATAATAGTCAATAAACATGGACGATTTGTAATAAATTACTCTGCATCATGTTGTTTTATCAAAGCCAACGCTATTTAAAAGATTACACTTGTTTTGATATGTGAAAAAATGACTATATAATACTTCTCCCATTAACAGTTCCACCCGTATAGAAAATAGCATCTACCTTGAATTTTGAATCTTGACGCGAAAAGTCATTCGTTCGTTGTCGGTAGCGTTAGCGTTACCGAAGAACTCCTCTGTTTCGTTTGCGGTAGCGTAGCTTTATCGAAGAAGTCCTTCCGTTTTGTTTGTAAGAAACGTAGCATTATAGTCTTTCGTTTCATTTGTAGTCAAGGTTTTCTCTTAATAAATTAATAAATGAAAAATTATATAAAAGTTATTCTTAAAAGTAAAAATAAACAATAAAGATTTTAAAAATTCTCTTTACGTTACTTCGAAGGCCAACAATAGCGAAATAGTATTTGGCAGAAACGTTTTGTTAGTTTTCTTTTAAGCGAAAAAGTAGAGAAGTGTTTACCATATTAAGTAAGCAAACCCCACACTACGATTGGCTGGTATAATTGATTATGCTTATTTGTCACATAAGTCGAGTGACGAACAAACCTAAAATTCAAATTCAAATATTTAATACATCACCAGTGTCACACCTCCAAAACTTGCATGTCACGTTTTCTGTATGCACCATAGTTTTCCGGTTTTTTTATTTAATAATGCAAAGGTCAATAATATAATTTTTAAATTACAACAAACAAAAAATTTTGCCGTATTATGATAACAAAAAGGTTTAATGTAAGCTCTCAACATAATGAATCCTTTTTACAAGAATATACTTATTTCAAGTCATTATAAATGACACGTGATTCATTTAATTCCAACCGGAATTAATTTTAAATTTTCGAGCTTAAAGAGTTTAAAAAATCAAAAAGTTATTGTTATTGGTATTATCAAATCATAATCGTGCGTCCCCATTGTTGTATTCAGTTCTTTCGTTTAAGTATTTATAAACAATTTGTATTTGAAAGCAGAAGGATTTAATTAAAGAAAAATGTGACGATAAATTTATTTAATAATATAAATTAATCAGTGTTGCCTCAACGTCGGGCGCTCTACACTTCGCAATGTCAATATATTAAACTTAATCACTAACAAATACTAATTACACAAATACAAAATTAAACAATGTAAAATAAGAGTTACGATGTTAAAATTTATGAGGTCGAAATGGCGAAAGCAATAATATCGCAAAGGAGGAAAGGAAGGGTTTAAGGTGTATGTATGCATTATAAGAAAGGCGGATCGTGTTGTTTAAGGATTTCCAACACATCAAAAAAGGTCAAAAATGATCTACAAGGACTAGCTACACAATTATCGAACAGGGCGGAAATAAAACACTATGATACTTTGTGTAACAAAATTTTATCAACAAAACAAAATGTGTTAACATCTTAAAATGAATGGTTTTTTTCTTAGTTATGTCTGAATAAGAAAGATTAAAATATTGTAAATAATAAAGAATGGAATTATTTTATGGGTCAAAAAAAATTTTTTTTTATCTTTTTTTCGTAATGAAATCATTTGATACTAGTTATACAAAAAATATTATAAATGTCGTCGCAAAAATCTTCTACGCAATGATTAGATTTTATCCAAAAAAAAAAATAAATGATAGTATGTATACATTTATCAAGAAATATGGTCCTATGTATGCCCCCAGTTAAATTCGCTATGTAATAGAAAAAAAAATGTTCTAATTAAGTTACTTGTAACTAAACTATTATTACAATCATAAATATAAAAAAAAAACCAAAGTTAGTTCTATATAAAACAAAATGAGAATGTTTATACATGCTGCTGCGGTACACAAATACAGGTACATATATTTAACTTATCCACTTTTTAACCTTTTAAGGAAATTCAGGAAGTTCTCTTTAAAATTAACAGAAAATCCTTCGTAATTTCTTTCAATAAGGATATTAATTTTGTCCATCCAAATCTTCTTAGAATTATTAAGTTCGTTATATTTGGTCATTTAAGAATTCATATCAAAGACAGTAGGAAGGAAGTTAACAAAGAATGGTCGAATTATTTCTAAACTTGTTGCTTTTTTTAGCAGATCCATATGTTCTGGCTTGAAAGTTATGTTTTCTTTAATATACAAATTAAAAGTGGTTGTGATTGAATTGTAAGTACAAATTGACATTTTGCTACCTTCCAAATTCCGTGATATATCAATATAAATCCTTAAGCAAGAATATCTTCAAAACACATCAAGGTCAATTCGGATTGATGTCCGTAAGTATCAAGAATGAATTGGTAGACTCGGGGGGAAAGGATCAGCGATTTTCTTCTTGATTCCATATCGCTTATCTTTTCTTCTTTAAAATATTGTTCAACAACTTGTTTCATAAATTGTTCATGATCATCAAATTTTGTTTTAAGAAAATTTAACAAATAATTGCTTGTTAAATTTCTTTCTGGTTTTAATACTTCTCGAAATAATCCAAAGGCAAGCGGTTTATCGGATCGTATTTCACAGATAACACTCCAAAGGATATTACCGATTTCATCCAACCGATGTTTAAACATATGGAGGGCGTCAATGATAACATTATTACTTAACTCAAACCCCAAATTTATAAGTTCGGTAAGACGTGAAATTACAACGGTAACGGTGGGGCAATTCCAATTAGGTGTAGGAGTTGAAGGGAAGAGAATGGTCAATGCCCCTAAGATAACTAAATCGTTTACATCGTTACAAATTTCATAATAACCAATTTGTTTCCATAAAGTCACTAAATATGGATGAATAAATATTGCTCTCGCGATCATAATAAGATGTCTTCTATTTTCATAACCGTCCTTGGGAGGATACTCTTCCGGAGGTGGAAGTTGAAGGATGTGAGGGTCATGATTCAAATCTAGCCGAACGGATTTTGGCTTTGGTGGAAACGGGATGAACTTTTGATTCAAAACCAAATCTTCGATGTCTGTTAAATTCTTTCGCATCATTCCAGGTGCATTATCGATCACGTGAGGACCAGCCGAAAGGAAATGAAATAGTTCCATGTCATTTCCTCTTAAAGGAACTTCAGTATCTAACTTATTACATCCTTCGTTTAGCAAATAAAGGAACGCAGGTAGAGATAAATTGCTTGCCCACGGTGATTTAATTTTTTGTGGTAATACACCAACATTATGTTCGATTTCAAGTTCAATCAATTTTTGATCATTTTTTCCAAATTGCATTAATAACCTTTGGATAAAATATCTTGAAACGATGACCCCTCTTGTAAATAAATTTTCACATACTAATGTATCGATAAAGCTTGGGCCCAACTTTATTGAGTAAAATAACGCATGGGCCTTTCCGAAACGTGATATAAGCCATTCGGCTTTTGTATGTGGATCTCTTGAAATAGCAGACCAGCTTTTGCAACTTATCGCCAAATTGAAAGGATGCTCGACGTGTTTAAAAATATTTATTTTAATTTCATCTTCGATATATTGGAAATATTGGAATTTTGGTCTTGGATTAGGTCTGTGATTAAACATAATACGAAATATGAAAATATTTTGATATAGTATATATAATATTTTATAGATCATATCTTCATGATATAGATTTTGTGGGTGGAGAAAGAAAAAAAAAAATCAAATGAGAAGGTGGAGTTTGTTTAAAAAGCCCTTTTTTTGTTCAGTTACCAATTTGTTCTATTAATATTATGCTATACTATATGATTATTATTAATTAATAAAGGCAGTCAGGGGTATTTCCAAATTTGGAATCGATTCCAGAATATTCTGCTGATCATGCCGATCATTTTAAATAGGAAAT